AAGCTTTCAACGAAACAAAAAGGTAAAAGACGGGCTTGAGCTTTTTTCACCTTATTCTTTTTTATCCATACGGACACACTCACACACACATACTCTCACATATACAGTAAACACTTTATTTTTTTTTTTTTACAATATAAAGAAATCAAATCATCTGCAGCTGTTCTGAGCTGGGCTGAACAGGCCAAGTCCCAAACATCAAGGCAACAAAACGTCTGTCAGCAGTTTGTTTTTGAGTTGCTGTAAATGTGAAGCAGCCGTTGGATGACGGTAAGTCACAGTTTAGAGATATGGAGAACTCCCAGTCATGTGAGTGCATGCTTCAGTCTCTGTAGCGCCCAGAGTTAATGACTCTGAGTACGAAACTGATCTGTATATGTTGTTTGTGCAGCCGTACATGTGTCCATGAACTATTTTTGGATCTTGCTCCCTGCGTTGAAACGGGGTCACATCGGTCATGAAATCATCTCCTCAGTGAAAACGATGCATGCAGGTGTTCGGATGAGTTCCTCCCATACTTGCTGATGTCCCATCGCTAAGTGTGGTTTCACTTTTGGAGACAAACATGTAAAACTGTCCTCCGTTGGTGTCCGGATGCATCAACATCTGCATCTGTTTGTGGGTCAGAAAAGAAACAATCTGTACTTTTCTTGCTGCCGTGGCGACGATCAGGACCAGAGTCTAAAGTCACTTCCTGGCGTGAAGGTTTTCCTGGAACTTGGTGCTTGTGTAGTGGATGTGGAAACCCTTCTTGCTGATGGTGTCATCGCTATGGAAACGCAGAAGCATGGTGTCTCCCGATGAATAAACCCCCTCTCTGGGCTGAGGATGGGAACACACACATATGTTAAATCATAACACTTTCTTCAAAATTTTTATTTATTTTGTTTATTATTATTAGTTTTTATTTTAAGTTCAACAATGAGTTTGACAACTCCATTTGGAAGGAAAAAATCTTAACGACCACAGAATGGATTTTTATAGCTTTTCCTCCTAAATAATCTTTTACAGTAGTCCCTCGCTACTTCATGGTTCATTTATCGCAAACTCGCTCTATCACGGTTTTTCAAAGTAAGATTGGACATGACACACAATTGGCTGATTGATGGATGAGCCGCACAGTCGGCATGGAATTTTTATTAAATTAAATAATTTAAAATTATTTAGCACCTGCTGCACCTTTGTCCAGCCCATACTGCAGGATAAACTTCTTGCTGCAGCTGATCAGCTGTTGGCCAAGAGTAGAAGTGGGCGTGGCCAATATATATATATATATATATATATAT